GTTTGGGCGGAGGCGCGCTGGCTTCCGTGCTCTTACAAAGGCCCACGATACGGGAGCTGGTCACCTCCGACTCGAAGGAAAGACCGAAAACTCCCGAGCACCAGTTCAGACTCTGAATCAGGCTAGAGGGGCTGCTAGCCCCTTTCCCATTCCTCATCATCCACTGGATGTATCGCCAGGTGGCGCGCTCTGATACTGGGAAGGGCACCACCACTGGGTCTTGGCAGTTTGCCCACTGGACAAAATTGCTGAGGGAGTTGAGACGACGAACCACTGTGTTGGTGGCTTTGTAGCTGAGCGCTGCTTCTATGCTGAAGTCGAGCTCGTCCAGGTCGACGCAACCGGCTTCGTCAGCACACTGTGAGACGATCTCGAAGGCCTCTGGCCAGGCTTTTACCAAAGCCGTCAGTTTGAAAACCGCGCTTTCGCGGCGGTCGCCTTCGTACGCTGTACGACGGCAGCACACCTTAAGTGCAAAGGCTGTGTCTTCCGCTACTAGCGGCTGGGTGCTAGCGGAAGCTTTCCGCTTAAGCATCAAACTTGACTCGTGCAGCACTGGCACGGGGCCCACGGAGGCGGGGCGAGTCACTGACAGCTCCCAGGGCCAGCTTGCATTGCGCGCAAACCATGAAGCTGATTCCCACGGCTGACGAGCACCGGCTCGGCGTGGTATAGACGACCAAAGGTTACTAACCTGGTCGTTGAAATCGCCCTCTGGGGCGCTGCCCCTGGGCAGCATCCTTGACACAAGGAAGGGGAGCACTGCTCAAGCCAGCGGCTGTTGTGCAGGCGGCTTTCAAGAAAAGGCTACCAGCACACGAACACAAGTGCACTCACTCTGGAAAGCTCGATTCAAGCGACGCGCTGCGACCCGCACCCTCCCCATTCAGTCCTGAGGGAGGAGAGGAGGAAAAAAGAGAGCTGGGAAGAGTGAGGCTTAAAAGGCTGCGGAAAAAACGCATTTAAGAGCGCAGACTCAGATGGTGACACTGCACTTAGAGTTACCTCAAAGGACCTACCAGGTCTCGGGGCACTGCGCACAAACCTACTAGGCAAGAAGAGCCTACTAGGCAAAAGAAGCTTCAGTCCTACAAGGTCTGTGTGCACGCGCAACCTGCGGTGTTCTTTTTACCAACCTCGCGATGCGAGTCTCTGGGCGGAGCCCGGTTGTCGAGGTGCGCTGCACCTGCCTTCTGCGATCCGCAGACAGGCCGGTGAGCAGCGAAGGCTCTTGTGGCCGGACTGTGCCGGCACTGCTGTGCTCTGCACCTGTGTGAGAAAGGGCGCAGACGGAAGGGCCACTGGCCCGTCAAAAATTTATCCGAACACTGTTCGGAATGCGCTGGATTACGCCGCTGGCGTATCTACCACTCTCGATGGTTCCAGCGTCGGTCGTGGTCCCAAGACCAACGACCACGGGACCACTGGTCCCGGTCCTCGTCGTCACGGCGGGACCTCTGGTCCTTGCCTTTGCCTTTGCCCTTGCCGTCTCTGCGGCGGGACTCCCGTTCGCGGTGCTCGCGCTCACGGGCTTCGGCTGCCTCGCGCTGCAAGGTCAGCCGAAGGGACTCGGGCGGCCCCCTAGTAGGGCGGCGCTCGCCACGGTACTCGAGCTTGCCGTCTGTCCGCGGGACAGTGCCTGGGCAAGAGTAATTTTTCGCGCAGCGTGTGCAATGCATCACGCCGCACTCTGGACACTGCCAGGCCTTGCTGCGACGCTCGTGGGAAAACTGTCCCACAGCGCCACTGGCGCTAGGCTGATCGTAGGCATGCACTGCAGCCACGAAGGGGTGGAGCTCTCCGCATGCACTGCATACGAATTCCGAAGACGGATCGCTCCAAATGTTCATCTGCATGTTGTCGCAGACTGAACATGCGAAGACTCGCTGAATCTCCCCCGCTCGGGGACGCTCCGCCGCTGGCGGGCGAGCTTCCTGATCGTCTCGATCAGCGGTGTCATCTGACGCCGGGCCGCTGGCCCGGGTCCCAGCGACGCCAGCTGGGTTGTTGCGCGGGGGCTGCTGGCAGGGACGCGGGCGAGAGCTCTCCCCACGACGCGCCACTGGCGGCGGGGGGGGCCGCTTGTTCTGGCGTGGGGCGGAGGCCTTCGGTGGCGCCGCTGGCGCCTGATCCCTGTCAGCTGCCGGCACTGCCGGGCTGGAGGACTTGCGCGCCACCTTGCCCTGAAGGGGAGGGTGCGGCTGCGCTGGCGGTGGCGGGGAGTCGCTCTCCGACTCCGACTCTTCCGAGCGGGAGCCTTGGTCGTCTTCGGTTTCATCCCGCCGCCCGCTGGGCTCCTCCACATCCATATCCTCCGGCGCTGCCGAGGGAGCTTCCGCTGGAAGCGCTTCTTCTTTGACGCCCGAGCCCGCTTCCTCAGCGGGGCTGGTCGGGGAGCGGCGCTGCGAGGCCGGCGCTGCGGCCGACGTGGGAGACGCGTTTGCCACCGCGCTGCGGTGGTCTTCGGAGGACACACCACGGGCCGCCGCTGGCGGCTCGGTGTTCGCAGGAACCACTGGGGGCTCGTAGCCCAAAAGAAGTCGCTGAAGAGCGACGGCATTGGCCTCTGAGCCGCCACTGGCGGGCTTGGTCCAGCCGGCGAGTTCCGCTGCCTCCGCCGCATTGACCACCACGTCCCCTATCTCTGATAGGGAGACGGCGGCTTCGTAGATGGCGGCCCTCTGGGCCTCCGGCACTGCACTGAGCGCCTGCAGCATCTGCTCGTTCGTTGGGTTCGCCATCGCTGATAGCATACAAAGGCTGTTAGCTGAAGGCACGAAAGGGGCGACTTACTAAGCTGAAAAGGCTGCGGAAGAAAAGCACTGCTTGAAAACCGACACGGTTCAAAGAGCTGACTCAGCTGGAGAGACCTACCAGGCTCGCGTGACACACGACTGAAAAAGGCGAGCAGCAAGCTTTTGCCGCATTTCAAAATATGCCGTCGGCTCGCCGCTGTGGGCGAGGTTCCAAAAACCTCGGAGACGCCCGCCCTGCAGAGGCTGCCGAACTGTCGGCGGCGAAGCAAAAAGAGGTGCACTGCACCAGAAGTAACTAGGGCGACTCACTGAGAAGCTAGCAGCTGCGCACTGCGCTCAGAGCCTAGCGGCGACCGCCACGGGCGCCGTGATTTCGGGGTCGCTGACCCCGGCTGCTGCGGTAGCAGTTGTCGCATTCGTGATGATTGTGGGGGCTCCTGCCCACTGAGCAGTGCCGCCCACAAATTGCCATACCTTGGGAAATGCAGCCCTGCTGCGCGCAGGGCAGACAGCACATGAGGTCGCCTCGCCTCTCCGGGTATCTATCCCATCTCTCTGAGTTGGGTTGTGCCCAATAGGGCCATTCGTGCACGTCTGTGACGTGCAACTGCGGAGAAACCCTCCTGGCGTGCGTCACTAACGCACGGAGGCCAGGGTACCTGTTGTCGGTCGCTGACCCCAGGTTGCGCCAATCGTTATTCTGGGGGTCCTCCCCGGGCTGGAACTGCCAGCCCCGCTGGCGATTGCGACGCTGCGGTCGGGGCACGACCACAGTGTTCGCGTTGGGCGCGAACGGCACTGCCGTTGCGGCCTGGCTGCTAGCCAGGGATACCTCGGAGTCTCCCGAGTTCTGATCACTGTCAGTATCGATAACTTCAATGACAGGCTCCGCCTCTGGCGGAGCGACGTCGGCAGCTGCGGCTGCGGGCGGGCTGCCTGTTGTGGCCGCAGCGGGCTTAGCAGGAGCGGCCGCTGGCGGCGGTAAGGGAGGGTCCGAGGCCGATGCCGACGCTGTCGGCAGAGCGGTACTGGACGAGGCGGTGGGGTCGGTGCTGCCGCTGGCAACTTTGTGAGACTTCTTCTTTTTCTTTTCAGAAGGGATTATCTTAATCCAACCGCCCTTGCCTTTGCCCTTACCCTCTGGGTGCCAATGGAAGCCGCTGGCTTCCACCTTGGTGGCCACGTGGCCCTCTAGGGCGTCCACCCAATTAAGTCTCCACTGGAGTTTGGGGACATTATCTTCCTCCCCACTGGGGGGCCAGTCAAAAAGGCCAGTATACGGCCAGCCAGGTGTGGCCGCTGGCCGCATAGGCACGTCGCGCTGCGACATGGTATACCGGTGCATCGGATAGGCACTGCCTGATGTGTCCGGTTGTTCCCCTTGCATCTGCGCGAAAGGGTAAAAGGGAGGCCAAACTTTGGACTCCCCTTCCCCTGCGCGGTTCAAAGCTTCATGGTCGTCGCTGACGACCGCGGGGTCTACCCGCATGGCACAGCTAATGGCCCAAAGGAGATAACTTATCTCCTGTTGTGCCATCTCCTCACGCATGGCCTGCTCTAACACGAAAATTGGATTGCACTGCAAGAAACGGAGGCAGGAGCGACACTGTCGCACGCGTTGCAAACATTGTGGCGCTGCCAACTGATTCTCTCGACCGTCCCTTCTAGGGTACGGCGCCTCTGGCGATTCAGCCGCGTAATTGCGGGCTGCTTGGTCAACCATAACTGTCACTGACAGCTATAAAAAGGGGAGTGGAAGGACGTCGCTGACGACCCCCACTACTGCGGAGCACTACAAGCTACTCTACAAAAACTTTTTGGATCACAGATCCAACTCCAAGCCGAAAGCTGCACGGCAAAGTTTGTCTAGTGTCACTCACACACAAGTGAAAACACTGTTTTCCTTTTTCGACAAACTTTGTCTACACTTTCGGCGGAAAATAAAACCCATTCACGCACGCATGATGGATGCGTGTAAAAAGGTCTGAAACTGTTGCAAGAGTGTGAGCCAGAAAGGTATATCTGGCAAACAAGCACTGCCAACCTGACGTAGGCGCTCCATAGGATGGCGAAGTTGCCCATATGTATCAGCCTGTTCAAGTTGTCGCTCATGTACCATGCCATGCCAAAGGAACATGTTAATGGTAGCATTTGCATAACAGAGATTGTGAGGATTGCGAAGGCGAAGTCTAAGCATGGGCCTCGAGCATCCCTGTTGCAAGCTCCACTCTAGGAGGTGGTGTCCTCCTGCTGTCCCGTCTGGTCCCCCTCTTTCGCGATCGGCGCTGCTGGGTGCTTCGGTGGCATTTCGCGTGCCGGGCTGGGGCGATTCGATGGGGGCTTTCTGTAGTTCCGTCCGCGGCCCATTGGATGCTCCGTGGGCGGTGGGAATTGCTCGGCAAGCACCCGGGCTAGCGGCTGGCGTTCCATCCTGGCTGGGCGGACTCGGAATTTCAACAGTTGGCTGCTGGCATTGAAGCATAGCGAGCACAGAGCGCGGTGGCAGAGCAGGGACTTTGGGTCCCGCATCCCGATCGTCACCAGGAACGTGACCGGGGACTGGTGCTGCTCCACAAGCCGTCGCGTTGCATGGAAGCGAAGAAGAGCTCCCGGGGCTGTGATGGACGACTCCAGGGTAGCCAGAGCTGTCATCAGCTCCTTGTGATCCAGAGCCGGGGTTTGCGACTCTTCCAGCATCTGGCGCTCCTGGTTCCATCGTAGATATGGCCACTCCATGCCCTGCCCGGCATCCTTCTGGCGAAGAAGCTTTAGCTTGGCCAGTTGCTCCAAGTCCTCCGGCTGCTCGAGGTTGGTGGTGATTTGCTTCGTCCATTGGCGAAGCAGGCCCAGGAACAGAACAAGCCTGAGAGAGGAGTCCACCTCCCCTTTCTCCTTCTTCTCCTTCCAGAGGACCGCCATCTTGAACATGAGGCCCAGCATGTTCACCATGTTGGAGTCTGCCTCGATCGTGGGCGGCTCGAAAGTAAAAAGAAAGTCGCGCTCTGTGCGAGCTTGTGAGAGCTCGTCTTCGTGCCGCAGGGCCATCCTCGCCAGGAGCCTCACATGCTCCTGGAGAGCTTCCACCATTTGGCGTAACTCCTTCACCTCGCTGTGGTGGTACCATTCGTCGTCCCACTCCTGTTGCTTCCAGCCCTGTCCTTGCCGGCGCTGCAGCTGCTGGTCCTTCCATCCCCTGGGGTTTTGCCAGGAGCTTGCTGGTGGGCTGGGGTTGTTCTGCTTGTCGTCTGCCGGTCCCTTGGTAGGTGACTGCCCTTGGCCCTGCCCCTTCCCCGCTGGCTTTGAAAACTTGGTGGGTCGGATCTGTTGATCCTCCGTTCGCTTCCCCAGAGTTGGGGCTGCAGGCATGTCCACATCCTCCCGTGGACGGGGCTGCATTGTCGCCATAGCCTCGCCCAAGATGTCCCGCACTTCCTCCGCCGCTAGCTGTCCCCTGGTCATGGGGTCCTGTGGTCCAAAGTTCTCCTCCTGGTGGGCCATTATGGGTTGATTCAGACCTGAGCTGTCGCAGGGCACGCCAGTAGTGTAACATAAGGCAGAGCTGATGCAGGATACGACATCTGTGTCGCCCACGGGGTGTCGCTCCACAGGCTTTGCAGGGCCGAGCGTGTCCTTCTGCGAGGGTCAAACTGTGAGCCATAGCATCGTCCCAGTACAGCATCAAATCTGGATGTATAGCTCGCACATGTAAAATCATGGAGCTTGGTGCACGTGCTACCCATTGACCGCAAAGCACGCAATGATGCCGAAGAGTGTCTTTCATCGCACTGATGTTGAGAACGTCCTTCCACTGGTTAGTGGAAAGCAAGGCTTGCACTTCAGGTAGCTCAAAAGGAGCCAGGAGCGCGTTTTCTGTTGCACCTTCAGCAGTGAGCCCCGCAGCGAACTGCAAAGCAGGCTCGGGTTGGGGCCCCGCAGCGGACTGCAAAGCAGGCCTTTCACCCTTTGCGTCAGAATGCAACACAACACAGCTGGTAAGTATATGTACACGAAATTGATGCCAAGTAGAGAGCTTTGCGTTACAATGTCGACAAATAGGCTATTTGTTGGTGCAATGGTCTTGTATACGAAGTCCATGCAATCTTTTGGCGGGTCCAGCTGAGACTACCTGAAGTCTCCATCCATGAATCTTGGTGTGATGAGAGCGCATCCCTGGCAGCGTGTCAAAGTATTGTCCACAAGTAGGACAGGCAAAGGCTTGGGTAGCCGTGACTTCCTGAAGACCATGTCTCAGAGCTGCGAGGTGTTGTTTGAGTTCTTCTATTCGCTGTTGAAACTGTGCTACCGCCAGATCTTGGAGTTTGGTGAGGGTGCGAGTTCGCTGTTTCAAGAGCTTCAGCAGGTAGTCACCTGGTTGTATCAAGCCAAGTCTTTTGTACAGGGCCTCCGTAGGTTCCCGTGTGATATGTACCGGGCTACGAGAGATAGCTCGAACATGTTTGACCTCAAAGGTATGTAGTCTTCTCAGCCCAGCGGCGGTGAGGCCAACCGGCATGAGACCATATAAGGCCGCCGTTCGTACACACAGTGTGTAAAGTTGGAGGCGCTTACGAACGGAAAGATATCTACGAGCATGTAGAATTTTAATGAGCCGGCCTCTGGTATTACGAGCCACATCCAGTCTGTAGTTCAGGGTGGTGTCCTCGAAACCGCCATAGGAGATACTGACACCAAGATAGGTCAGGCTATCCTTGATAGGTATGATCAATTGTTGATGCGGGGGGCCAAGCACAAGCCGTCGGGCATCTGGAGGTCCATGTACATGGGGTGCAAGAGTGGATTTGCCTAGCAGGCCTTTGACACCCAGGATGATACCAGACTTTTGTGGATTCACCTGCATTCCAAATCGTTGATATACAGAAAAGATAACAGGTATGGCCTGCAGAGCTGAGCGAAGGTCTCCCAATGAATTCACTAGCCAGCTGGCATGTGTGTCATCAGCGTACAGCGTCAGATGTTGCGATACCCAGGTGTGGGACAATTCATGACCTAGATGGTCAGCTACATAGGCTGAGTACACTACCCACAGCAAAGGAGCTAATGTGCATCCTTGGCGTACTCCACGTCGCATGTTGATGTGACTGTGACGTCCACGATGATTAATGCTGTACTTGCAAACTTCATGCAGATCTATAATTGTCCGTGCCAAAGTCTCGCTGGCGCCTGCCCAAATCAGTGCCTGATACAGCCGTTCACGAGGTACCCGATCAAAAGCTGTTGAAAGATCGATTGCAAGTTGTATGCCGCCAATGGCCACTTTCTGTTTGATTTGGGCCCGACGTGTATGCACAGTGGCCTGCTGCCCTTCATGCATAGAGCGGACTTGTCTGCAGTGGGCCGTCACTCGCGAAATAGCAGTGTCCGTGCTTTTACCAGGTACATATGCAAACAGAGGCAAAGCGGCTATAGTGGAGCTGACTTCTTGTAAGAGTAATTGCTTCAGTACCTTAGCATAGGCCTTTGCACCAGTATCTTGTAGTCCTAGAGGTCGGAGGTTTTCGGGTCGTTTCCCCGATTTGTGTGGCTTGGGGATGAGTGCCAGAGTACAGTCGGCCCACAAAGACGGCGTCTCAGCCCCATTCAGACAGGTCTCGGCCTGAGGAGCAGCAATCGTGGAGATCATGTCCGAGCATGCACGTACCGCACTGGTAGGAGCGCTGCCCGGAGGTACTGCCTTGCCCATCTTGAGCGAGTCGAGGGCTTGCTGAAACATAAGCGGGCTGACCTCGTAGTCTGCTGAAGGTCGAGCTGCAGACAGTGTGCATCCAGACTGTCGAGACAGAAACAGAGTCTCAAAATGTTCAACAATGGCCTGCTGCTCCTGTTGATAGGTGAGCATCTCACCCTGTTTACCATGTATACGGACCTGGGCATGTCGGGTTTTGGGTGCCATTTGCCGAATAATGCGATGCAATAGGCCATGATCACCCCGCGCAACTGCAGTCTGGGCCTGTTCCAGGTAGTTCTCGAGGATGGCTTTGCGAGCTTCCCGGCCCCTTTTGCGAAGGGCCTTATAGGCTTTCTGAAATTCCTGGTGTCGTCGCCATGCTTGAAAGCATGCTCGAAAGGAGCCTGGTGGGTGGCCAGCCGGTCTTTGCATTCGCCTCCGTGCTCGCCACATGTCCGCTACCGATGTTTGCACCTCCGACGTCTGCCAAGCCCGGAGCTGTGGTTGAGGAGGAGCTCGCGGAAAAAGCCTGCAAACCACATCGAGTAGAATATCGTTAATTTGTTGGAGGTCAGAGGTTTGTACCGCCGCAAGTTTGGACCTGAAAGCTTCTCGGAGGGCATCATATTGCGGAGTGCGATCTCGGACGGCAGCCGTGAGAGCCAAGTTATCATAAGATCTTTTGGGCTGAGTGGACGACCGTGGTGAAGCCCGTTGCCAGCCTGGATGTAGAGGGAGAGTGGCCTCAACCGGGTGATGCTTGCCCCCTTGACGCCACGGACTGAGTGTGAAGCCTCGTTTGGGTAGAGCACGTCGAGCCACTGCATCTGCATGTCCCTGTCGGGTGATGATAAAGTCAATGATGGACTGATGTCTAGGACCTGTAAAGGTAGGAAGCAGACGACGTCGAGACCATGTGTTGAGTACAACCAGCTGGTTAGCTTCCAGGATGGTGGTAAATTCAGCAGCATCCGAGTAGAGCTCAGCCCTGGACAATGAGCATCCGATGTGTCCCGCGACATAAATCGGGGTGCAGTTGAAGTCGCCCAGCAGAACCAACATGTTTCGCCTGGCCAGTTGTTGTATAGTGGCATTTAGGCTGTCCCACAGACTGTGTCGTTTGGAGAGATTGTGTCCCGCTGAATCTGGCTGGTAAGCTTGTTGATAAAAGTTCACCACATCTATGTGATATTCGGGTCGTGCGAGGCGTACATGTAGCAAACGGCCTGCTTTGATCTCCTTGTGGTGAATCTCCGCATCACCCTGGAAGTCCTGTCGAACCAGCGTGGCTAGGCCCTGAAATCTAGAGGAAGGATCGACACTGGTTATGAAGGTCCAACCTGCCGAGGACCAGTGTGAGGACTCTTTCCCCAGACCATGGTGGATTTCCTGCAGAGCTATGATATCATACGGTGCATTAGGAAGCCAGGCCATAAGACAATCGAACGTTGTGGCGTCAAGACCACCAACATTCAGACTGAAAGTGCGAAGCCTGGAGCGCTGCCGCGTTGTCGGCGAGGACGTGGTCTTTGCAGAGGGCCTGGTGGGCTTTGGGTGTGGATCACTATGTTGGGGCGCATGAAGAGTTCGGCCTCGATAGACGGTTGTTCCATCCTGTGAGGAACGTGCTCGACGAAGCGCTCGGGCAAAAGCTCGTTTGCGAATTCGTTGCCTGCCTGAGCATGGCGCCGGAAAAGTAGTCGTGCAAGCGGTGCTCCCACCTAAAAGTTCACCCCGAAGGGCTCCAGAAACCGGGCGGGAATCAGAATCAACCCTCGCATCTGTGCCGGCACGTGCTGCTGGTATCCATGCTATCAACAGCAAAAGTAGAAGTGGTGTGCGTAAACATCGAATGCTTCCGGCACCCTGGGACTTGGGACCCAGGCGGCACTGCTTTGTAGGAGACGTGGGCGTAGTAGGAGAAGCACCTGTACCAGAGCAAACTTGACATAGAGCTTCATCATTGATGTTGGGCTGCCAGCTTACAGGTACTCTAAGAGTGCCACCGTACCGAATGTCCGAAAGGAGGTGGTAGAAGACCTGGCAAATGTAGTAGATGCACTGCATGTACCGGTAGAGGGCAGATATACAAATCAGCAGCGGCACCTGCTTTTCCCAGTTCCACCACGCATCCATGAGAAGCGAAGGCTTTGCACAGGAGGAGGTACATTCAGTCTTTGGTGGCTGGTTCAAACCCGAGACCATCAGCACTAGCAGGGGTGAGAGGGCTGAAACCATCTGAACTGCTATCTTCAGGGACTGTGGCTTTGGCTGCAGCAAGGTCGTCCTCCGGTCTAGAGGATGTGTCGAAGGGGTTCTCATCGAGCTCGTCGTCCTCCGCCGGGCATTCAGACTCCGAGTTTTCATGATCCTCGCGAGGAGCTGGTAGAGCGTTGGCGGCAGCATGCGCCCGTGTAGAGGCTGTCGTGGGTTTGGCTGGGCCCCTTTCCGCACGAAGCCGCCGGGCTTCTTCAGCCAGCTCTCGAATGGTGATCTCGTCGGAATCCATAGAGTCCGTTCCGCTTGGGGGTGAGTCATCCTCAAGGGTTGCAGCATCATCAGCAGCATAGTGGACTGGCACCGGAGGAGGCGGACCGCTAGGCGGTGCATCAGGCGGAGAAGGTTCCGGCTGCAAATACCGAGGTCTATGCAGGAGCCGAGTCCTTGGACTTCTCGAGCGAGGTGGCTCAGATTCACCTTCGTCCGGCCTTTTGGGCCCCGGCATTGGTAGCAGAGAAAGGTAATTATCCGCCAGAGTGGGGCTGCTGTCAAACAAGCTGTGCGAACAAGCGGCTGCAAGAAAAATTGGATTCGGCTGCAGAGCAAAGCTTCAAACAGAAAAGTGCATAGCAAACCGGCAAGTCTCGCCAGGAGGGCCGGATCTGTACCAGGTGGTACTCGCAGGCTTCGAAGCATCAATCGTCGGGCCCCTTCTAAGGCTCGCAAGATATACTCCAACCTCAGAGGAGCACCTGCACTAATCCATGTTAGCAAGATCATCAATCTTTCCAATCTGTGCTGCGTACGCGCATTCAACCATGCAGTGGGCAAACTCTTCATTGAGAAAGTAGGTACTGGAAATAAGCCGAACACGTTGATTAGGTTGTAACAGTGTCCAGCAATCCATCCAGATACTGAAAGGAGCTTCCCAAAGCCAGCTGCTTCCATACAGGTTTTGCAAGGATTGCTTGGCTGAGGGCGGGAGCTCTCTCCACTTCTCACACAGCAGTTCCATAGCAAGGTCAGAAATGCATTTATGCAGCAGATCTTGGTGCCTCCACCAGGCCGTTTTCGAAATCTTGTTGTGCCCTCGCGGCGGGCACAAATCCATAGCAGTAGCTGCAGCCATGGGGGCATGTGCCCAAGTCCCTGAACGAAGAGCAAAGCCGAACCCCAAACACAAACCACACCGTCCGAGAAGCCAGCAATCCTACACCGGCCCTTGTCGCCGTCAGCTATCCTTTGGATGAGCCGAGATGCTTTGAAACATGGATCAAGTTGATGGCCCACCAACATGGGCAGCAGTGCCTTCGAAGCTAAAGGACAAAGCCTCAAACAATGTTTGATTGTCGCTACCAGTTTGGAGGCCTTGTTGTCAGACAGGCCTACCCACCACCATCCCCAACATGCCAAGGGCAAAACAGCGTGCGTTAGAAGTGTACACTTGGTGCGGTAATTCGTGTTAGTACAAGCAATGCGTGCAGCTCTCGTCGTGGCCGTTCTAAGGCGAGAGTCGCCAACTGGTGATGAGCCACACTTTGAGACATCAACGCCGAGCACTCTTAGTACATGAGTCTGTTGGCATGGCGGAAAACCTGCACTAGTGGCTTTCTGAGCATTCACTTTTCCTTTACACAAGATTTTTGCCTTACCCAAATTTTCACAAAATCCTACAGCTTGAATCGCCACTCTCCATGCATCACGGAGTATGGCAGCACGGGCAAGATTCTTCGGGGCGAAAGTTCTATCATCAACGTAAGTGATAAACTCTTCTCCGTCCTGCTGTTGATTCTGCACATAGTAAGAAGGCTCGAGCAAGGCTGCATTGAAAGCCATTGGTGCTAGGGCGTCGCCCTGCGGCATGGAAGACGCGACACGAATCGGATGCTCTTGGTAGTGACCTCCCAAGGAAATCCCACATACTGCTACAAACATTAGCTAACCCTTGGGGGAAGCCTAGCTGACACATGCATTGAACTGCAATTGACGGATCCAGGTAATCAAACCCTTTCGCAAGGTCCAAAGTAACCAAAATTTTGTTCTTTCGATAAGACTGTTCTAAAGCATATAAGGCCGTGTGGACTCCATGTTCAGGGAATCCACCATGAGCACATGGGTGTCGCCACTGCAGGGACCATCGCTGTACCTCAGGATCTCTTGCGATGGCCGATGTGAACATCCGCCAAAACACCGAGCAGATTGAAATGGGCCTCAGTGCATCAGACGGTATGGCATTATCTTGCCTCGGTGCGACGTCTTTAGGAATCATGACCTGTCTGATTTCACGTAAACGATCAGGCACTCGTCCTTCACTAATCTAAGGGCTCCGTCTGCAGAGGAGCTGATACACTGCACTGGGAAAGGGAATTCAGATCGCTCTGCCCGAAAATTGCTCTCATCGCTCCGTGCTCCCAGGGCAGGTCGAAGTAAGCGCCCAGCAAGGTGGCATCACTGGCTGCCGATCCATGACCCCCGCCAGGCACAGACGCGGAGACGTCTCACAAATCCACCTGCATGGATGCTCCACACTCCCCTGGCGAGGCGGCTAGCCCTCCAGGGCTGGTCGCTCTGGCCCGACTATACTGAATCCCGGCTCCCATAATATGGCCATACAACCCTAACGCCCATCCGGGCGGCTTCCCCTTCCAGCCCCACTTGGGGAGAGTGGAGAGCGCGCAGGCGGTCCAGCTTTTTCAGGTACGCCTTACCCCCCGCTCCATAGGCGTTTGCTCACAAAGAAGCCAGGCCCCGGCAGGCAGCCAATTCTGCAACGCATGCTGCTCAGAGAGTATAGGGTGGAGTTGGCACATTGTTCATGGGCACCGCGTGCCCACGCCAGCGCCCCTGGGAACGGCGCCAAGAGCGTGGCAAGAGGCTGTTGGGGACAAGGAACCCGGCAGGCGGCCGTATACGCGCCCTCGTTGTCAGGGCGCCAATAGAAAGCTTGAATTAAGAAGCCCAGGTAAGCCCAGGCCGTCGCCACATCGCCTGAGTGCCTAGCCTGTGCCCCCATGAGTGGCGTGCCTGCCAGCATCTCGGCCTGGCGCCAATCCGCCGTCACAGTGCTCGTGGTTTCGTGGGAGAAGAGCGAGCTGGGCAAGAAGCAGCGGGACCACCTCTGCCGCCCAATCGTCAAGCAGCGTCGCATCAAGGCGGAGGCGGTCCTCATACCTGCGAAACCCGTGGTCGCCTCTTGGGCCTCCGTGCTCGCACTGACGCAGAAATTCCTCTACCGCACCGGTGGAGCGCCACACACAGGGGAGGAGGCCAATGTCTCTAGGAGCACGGCCAGGTTGCGCCGCAAATACCGAAAATCCACCCTGGGCGTCCGTGGAAGGCTCCGATACAAAGACCACTCCGATGGCGCTAGTGTCATGTCGCCTTTGTGCAAGATCATAGCCCCCCGGGGCATAGTCCCAGATGGACCGAATACGTGAGGCGGCCATCACCTCCTCGCAACCGGCGCGGGCGCCTCTTGAAAGAGGGCGGCTTCCGCGACTAACTCTTGGAGATCACGGACCTCGAACAGAGAAGTGGGCGCCGCATCATGATCCGCAAGGAGAATGTGTTTGCCGGGGAGCAGCGTAGAGAGCAGCCAAAGCGCATAAACTTTGCCCCACCAAATCGGGGCGTCCGTGAGGGCTGTGTCAGCATAAATGGGAACGAAGAGCGCCGCGTGCCTCTCCCCGTGGCGTCCAATCCAGCGGTTGATGATGTGCGGCAACGTGTGCTTGGCATGCTGGTACGTCGGCACCTCCGCCGTGTCAGTAAAAAGCCACAAGGATTCACACAGGAGGACTCCTGGCTCCATGATCAGGGGCAAGATTGCCCTCGTAAGCTTGCCGAGGGCCAGCGGGAGAGTTGCATTGCCGACGCCCACGTCCGACCCATTGCGGAATAGTGTTAGGTCCGCATTGATCGTCAGCGGGCGGAAGCCATACACGGACACGGACGCAAAATCCCCTTCGTGGTTGCCCACCGCCGAACGCCGCACGCGGTGATGGCCTCGCTGGGCCACAAGTAAGCTTTCCACCGCTGCCACCCAGTGCTCTCCAGTGTCTGCAGACCGCGCCGCGACGACAATATTGCTCTCGAGGTGCCGTGCAACGAACACATGCCCACGGACAAAAGGTCCAGGGATGCTCACCTCCTGGTAAAGAGCAGTAATCACCGGGGCGTCGTTGATCAGCCGATGCCACCCCATGGTGGTCAACGCGGGACGTGGGAGTCCACGTTCCTGGAGTGCCTGTACCACGAGCATCCCGTCGTGCAGTTGTAGGTGGAGAGCACTCTCCGCCATAAGATGTCGTTGAACCACGGCTTGCGTGAGTGTCACGTATCCTGGTTTAGGCCAGCGTCCTCCGGCGAGCCCCGTATGGTAGAGGCGGGCGGCCTCCTGTGGCTCCAGCTTGGTCACCAAGGGAGTGGCGGCTGCCATGGCGCTGGAAATGGGTACTATGTTGGTAGGGCTACGGACGAATGTCCGAGCCCCAACCTCCCCCGAGCATCCATTCTCTTTGAGCACAGGCAGCACCCAATTCAAGGAGCAAGGCGTGTAAGGGACGCACTATCAACCTGAGCGATAGAGGGGCGGAGCATTTTCAACTTAGCCGCTCCAAGCCCTATGTTGGGTTCAGTCACTTAGAAAGCACGTAAGGTACCCCTGACGCTGGCCAAAGTCCACGTCAGTGTGGTTGCGGATGTAACTGCGGACATTACTAACCTGCTTAAACCAAATGCGGCATGTTATCTGCTCGGGGCGCTGCCATCCACAGTGGGTCTTGACTACAACCAAATTGCATCCGGACGTTGCCGCGAGAAGAAGTGTAACCTCCAAGGCGGCCTCTAAGAGGCAAAAGTACCATCTTGTCGGAAGTTATAGTGGAAGATGTCCTCTTCACCACTACGGTGTGTGCCGGCACCACGGGGGCTGTGGACATCTGCTTAGTCGACAAGGCTGGCAGATTCACCATAAAAGGCGAGGACGCCCACCAAAAACTCACGGCAGGCAGCACGCGGCCCACGGGCCCTCTTATCATAGCGGCTCCATCTCATTGGTGGGGCATCCTTGCGGCCCTCGAGCTCCACGCTTCACTCCACCGAACTCTCATCCGTTGGGAGGACCTCTATCGCACTTACGGCTTGGCGCGCCTGGGTTCGCACCGCGCGAGGACAAGGACACGGCCAAGGAGTTTTACCAGCGGTGGTCTGTCAACCGAATACCGCCATTATGCGACGCTTGCGCACTAGTGGCTGTTAGCGGCTTGCCTGAATACCCGGCGCAGTTGCTCCTGAGGGGCATGGATTTCGAACACAGTGGCCCCGATGGCCAGCCTACACGAGTCCGCCCCTTCTACCCCGTGCTGGACACCAAAACTCCCATTTGCGGACTGCTGGAATTTACGGACCCGCCGCGCTTCAGCCTCCAACGTTTGCGCGCACACAAGGGGCAGGGCCTGCAGCCGCCCAAGCGTGCCTATGCCGCTTTCCGTTCCCCGCATCATC